TCCGCTCCTTGAGTTCTCTCCAGCGCTGGAAAGCTGATCCGATATTTACTCTGGTTCTACTTCTTGCCTTATTGCCTTAAGCCTTCTTTTGTTCCGCAGACGTTTTCATCTTTTGTTTTTTATCCGCCATCTCTATCTTTCTGTCGCTCGGCTCGGATAATGTCCGTCCTGTGCACGGAACGCTCTCTCCTCCACATCATGAGTAGACACGTCCCTTACTGCTGATTGGCTACAAGTTTGTTTTGCTACTTGGCCCAAATCAGTTTTCTAAAGCGTTTTTGAAAAATCGCTTATCCCACCTTTAATGTGAAATTACTAAACCTACACATAGGAGCCTGATAAAAATGCTAATTTTAGAAGAAAATTTCAAACGGCACTTAGAGGCTTTTGCATCGGAACTCTTCATATAGACTATTTATTTATAACAATATATTTATGGCTATTATGTAAAAAATATCTGTTACCAATAAAATTGTAATAAATATATACTAGTGTCTCACTAGTGTCTGGTCAGCTATTCATACTGATATACTGTTTAGTTGCATGCAGCTATAAATAATAATAGAAAAAAATACTTAAACTGAAACAAGTACCAGCAACAAATGGAGTTTAGATAAGAAACACGAATAGCTGATTTCAGAATCACACGCTGTGTCTGAATATGCATACTTCCATATATGTGAAAACAATATGTGAAAATAGTAGCCTATGTTTGAATTCATAGTATCTGAAACAGTATGTGAAAAGTAGATGACCTTCTGCAGAGATGCCATAAAGCCACAGGAAAAGATTTGTGAATGGCAAGGAAGAAATGCAACTGACGCTAGGTCATGTGACAGTAACAGCATGACGGATGTAGTACGTCCAAATTGAGTGAAGTAATGAAGTAAGTTTCAAACCAAATATAGTATATACTGGACAGTATGCAAGTTTGGGTGCAAATCAGATACTAGTTAGTTTTAAGGATTAATGTTAAAATGGCTTGCCACACATTGTAGGTTTTTGTTGATAAAGTAGGCTTCTTTAAACCAGCATACGATCAGATCAGACTTTCTTAATATCCATTTGGGTTTATAAGCAGTATCTGCAATCACAGTATATACCCTGCTATTTGATCCACGGCAGCCAGGAGTGTTTCATGCCCATCTCCTGGCGGTGCCTGAGCGTATGTGCACGTGAGAGGGGTGGGGGAGAAACAGAAAGGGGGTTTGGGTGGGCAGTGGTAGAAGAGGCTTGGCTAATTCACTTTTCCCATAAAAAAACACGGCTGATCCTGTTCAATTCATGAAATGCACTACATATATAGGACAGCCATCCCCCAAGGAACGTGTAGTTTTTCCCAACTCATCCTCACGCCCCCTCACGCGCTCTGCAGTTCATATTGAGCCATTTCGTTTAGCCCATACGATTGTTCAGCTTCTGTATCCCTCCTCATGTTCCCGATGATTGGCACGTTAACTAACACATGTGAAAAGGACCTTGACCGAAAATACAAAGCACTGACTGACTTGACAGGAATTCAAGCGTTAAGTCTTAACTCAGTTTCCTACTTGATGCACTTCAGTTTCTTTCCAGAGCGCGCAGTAATGCAGAATGATAACCAAAATGCAAGCAACTCCATTCTGTTGTACTACAACATGCTGTGACAAGTGAAAATGCATCATTAGTGACTTTTCAACAAGCTTTTCATGCATTAGACGACGCTATTTACGTTTTAACTATTATACACGAATTAATTAAAGCTAATATACTGATGACACATCTTTATCTGTGAAGGTCACCAAGAACATGCCACGATGTCCCCCACATTCAACAGCAACGCATTTCAGCACCCTGGAGAGCAGCACAGTAAAGATTTACTGCTGACCACCATCAAACTCTCTCTCTCTCTCTCTCTCTCTCTCTCTCTCTCTCTCTCAACAAGCTGACATAATGTAAACTGAAATGGAGAAAAAAAGTAGTTTTTTGAAAATCTGAAAATGCTCCAATTTATCATGTACAAGAATGTTTACAATACTTTGAATATTTTTTGCAACTGCTTTTCTTTGCAACCTCATAATATATATATATATAGTAAAATACTAATACTAATATATATAGTAAAAATAAGAAATTAAATATTTTTAAATTTGCAAATGTTTAAAAATATAAAATGTGAAATATGTATTTTGTTGGAGGAGCTCATATTGAACAGCATCGATGCTGGAGCAACATGTGTGGCTGTCAAAATAGACATAGAGGCCTGCAAGCTTCAGGTGATCGACAATGGCACGGGAATGTGCCGGGAAGACATGGAAAGAGTGGGTCTACGATATAACACAAGCAAATGCAGCTCGTTGGAGGATCTGGAAAATCTCTGCTTTTATGGGTTCAGAGGGGAAGCGATTTCCAGTATCGTCTCTCTTGCAGAAATGGTCGAAATATCATCTAGGACTAAGCTGTCGGTGAAAACATATGTTAAAACTTTTAATGAAACAAATGCAATGGATGTTGTTGAAGCTCAAACCGTTCGTCCCTCCGTAGGGACGACCGTGTCGGTCTACAATCTCTTCCACAACATGCCAGTTCGAAGAAAG